TACTCTAAACCAGGACAACATGCATGCATGGTCACAGTCAAATAGTTGAGAACACAGCTTACACACAATGCATGGAAAATGAAAATGATACAGCAAAGAATTTTGAGTTCTTAATCCTCCTTAAGCTGATAGTTTTTTAAACACTTCTTTCCTCTTGCTTCTCTTTTCCTTCCCACTTCCTTCTACCTGTGCTTTTATTTCCCTTTTCTATCACCATCTGTGCAACTTTTCATCAATTTCTGATCCTAAAGAATATAATTCAGAAAGTTTATTAGAGAGAGCAACTTAATTTTTATGATGCTCCATTTTCCTCACATACTGGTTACAGTATTTACTGCAGAAGTACAGCTTAATTCCCAACTACGACTAGACATCTTCAATTTGGTATTTTTTCCATAGGTAGTTGATTTAAACCAATGCAAAGTCACCTAAATTGGCTTCAAACAAACAAATAAACTGAAAATGAACTTGCAGTGACCAGAGAGTTTTTTGCATTAGAATGACAATGCTGGCTCAAGTCAAGTCAAGTTGAACCACATTAAGAATACCGGTAAAAGGTTTTGAACCAGTTTGGCTAAACTCAGTTTAATGTTTTACCAGGAGTTAGTTCACAATTCTGAATTTAGACAAAGTCTCAGGTGGTCTAATGACAGTAAAACTTACATGCAAGATCTCCAAAGTTGTGCTATAAACTACACATAACATTCATTATATTTCTGAATATTAAAACCAAAACATAACACGAACACTGGTGATTTATTCTTAACATATAAGGGAAAAGTATAGACTTACACTTTCATGTGACCTTAAAAAGATATTCTATATATTGCTTCCCATTCCTGATTTGCCAGAAAAAAAGGTTAGGACTCTTGTTTTAGACACAGTTAAAGGGGTTAAATTAAAGAAGCTGCATGCTGAAGTGTAACTGGATGGATGGCAGTTACCTTCTGCTGTGGATATAGGGCTCACTGTGTGGACACTCTCCCTTTAGTATAGCAAATCACAAGCACAATGCCTTGTTAGATTTGAACCGGAAAGCAACATCCTTGTCAGCTCATCAGTAATTCTAATAAATGAAATGCTGTTCTCTCACTTCCAGTGGGGTTTGCTTTACTCTTTGGAAGACACTAAAGATCTTCATGAAAGTAGCATTAGACAGGAATAGCGCTCCGAGCTTCTGAATTGTGACTGCTAGTTCTTAGCTAAAATCACACTCTTAAGTCTAGAAAATAAAAAAGTCATCACTTTTATTGTCCTGATCTGTTAACAGGTATTTTCCAATTGTACTCTACTACCTAAGCCCTATCCCTACTTACTTTTGTTGGTTTGATCCACAAAAATAGTATTTAAAGTTTTACAGTAGTATTTAGTCATATCCATCCCGGCAATTTTTTTTCTCCAGCTCCACTCTGCATGTAACCTGTTCTTTGCTCTTTCCAACATCCTTTTCATCTCCCTAACCTCTATCATGTGGAGATTTTTGTTTCTTTGGGCATCAGTTCCCCTCATTTCAGATTTTTTTTTCCCACAATATTCATTAGCATTCCTAATTTCAGCATAGGAAACTTGTCTGTAGTATTGCTTTAACTGCCTAGTTTAAAGGTAGTACAGAGCCTATGCAGTCTAAACTCTTTCTTATGTTCAATAAATAGGAGCGTTTTTCTCTCTCTGCTCTGGCTTTCTCACCTCACCTTTGGTTATGAGATTCTGATGATTTTTTATTTTTGTTTTTTTAAATTAACTTTTTTTTTAAAAAAAAAGGGGGGTTATTGTGTTGCTGCATACATGATTTACAGCTTCAAAAAGCTTCAACTAGGACACATATAGAGTACTGTTGAAGATTTGTACAGGAAGGCAGAAGAATAACAAAACTGGCTACTGCCAAGTTATATACACTCACAGTCTAAAATGACTGATTGTGGGAAAGTAATAGCAAGACAATTCCTGAATTTTCAGAAGAAAGCATACTGGGAGTATCACTCCTGAGACAGGCTGCATTAGCTATAAAAAAAAGCTTTCTCTTTATGAACATTCAGGTGTTAAAATGTAAAAGGAACTAGGTATGAGAAAATAGAATTTTTTTTTTTCCAAGAGTTACACAAAAATTTAGGAGTGAGAGCAACATAGTGGAGAAAAATCAGCCGGCCAAAGAACTTCTGTGCAATTTATACTGGACGGGCTAATAATAAGTGGTGAACAGGGAAAGGAGTTGTGTTGCATAAAGAGAACTGTATTCAGCATTGCCCAAATTAGAACTGTGTGTCTGTTTCTTTAACACTTAAAAACTGAATGAGTTTTTTATGCGGACATGAACACGCACTTTTAGAATACAACTTGTTTCATTTTAATAGAATTCCTTCTGTTAATCAGCAAGCATTATAAAAACTAGTTTTCATTTATGCCAAACTCAGTAGCACAATAAACAACACAGGTTAGTTCTGTAGTGTTTGGGAGTGGGGGAGGAAGCTTTTACTGACAAGTCCTGAAAGAAAAAAAACAACCAAAAATAGGGACAGATGGGCAAATTAAAACTTAGAGGAAGACAGATTTATAGGATAGCAGAAAGTCAGTCTTTTGGATTTTGGCTTGTGGACAGCTGAATTCAATACAACTTTGACTTATTCCCTCTAAATATAATTTGGCAATTTCATGACACCTTCAAACAGACTGATTAGATTTTGGGAAGAGATACGTATTCTGGATTTCCTAATTAAAAAATGCTTACAAATACAAACATGTTGGAAAAGAAGGCACATCTTGAAGTTATAGGCACCACTGATTTGATTAGAAAAAAGTCTTGGTCATGTTCTGGTAAATATTTCCTGTGGGGCAGAAGATAATGAAAAAACATACCACCTCCCCCAAAAAGAGGGTTTATTTTGAATCAGACTAGAAACAAGACAAATTACTTTGTTCCAACCAGTAGCATTTTATCTGTTTCAATAAGATGCTGCAGTTATGTGTGGTCACAGCGTTCACAGTTCTGAAAAAGTGGTATTGGTCCCGTCCTGAAGATGTGGTATTTAGAAATTATTTTCAAAGTTGGCCAAAACAACAACAACAAAAAAAACAAACAAAGAAGAGGTAGGACAAACAAATCAGTCAAGCTACAATAAGACTTCCAGTATTATTATGAAATTTAAAGAATTATGGACTATTAGCTACAACATCTTAATTTCTTAGAAAAGTCTTAGTCCACTGTTAGCATCTTCATGGTATTGGTTTTCAGAAGTCACTGCTAACTGCAAGACCTTTACAGATTCATAGTACCTCTACTGATAAAGGCTTTTGCCCCGCTTTCCTCTCCTGCTTCCCAGTGAAGTGCTGTCTTCGCACATACTTTGCTTTGGAAATTGCTTACTGCTACACTATGTTCAAAAAAAGACTCAGTTAAAAGTCTTCTATTTCTAGATCTACAGGTATTTTGCTTTGTCTCCTCCTTAGTATCTTCTCTCCTTCTTTTCCTCCAACTTCAGTGTTCTCTGTTGATTTCCCAGGTAACTGAAAGATTTTCTAAACCATTTCTAGCCAGCCAGCTCCTACTTGTACTTCTGTAATGTTCCACTTCAACAACTATCCCAAAGTAAGTAAGATCCCAGGATTTAGTACGGCATTCAGTGCTGCACAAACAATTCAGCATTTTTATAGCCACACTGTATTCACTGACAGTTAACGTGGGACAAAAAAAAAAATTTAAGCTTTATCTCTTAGCACAAGAGGGATTGTTTACTACTAGGTAAGCTCTGAAGAATGACATAGGGCACTTTACAAAGCTCAACTAGGAAAGGTCTTTTTACATGGTAGTTGCTCATGTCAGCTGAAACCCACGTAGGTATGAAAAGGATACAGATCATAGAATAGTAGAATCACAGAATGGTTTGGGTCTGAAAGGACCTTTCAGAGATCATCTCAGTCTGCCTCGCTGCCATGGGCAGGGACATCATTCACTAGATCAGGTTGCTCAAAGCCCCATCCAACCTGGCCTTCAGCACTTCCAGGAATGGCGCGTCCACAATTTCTCTGGGCAGCCTGTTCCAGTGTTTCACCACCCTCATAATAAAAAATTTCTTCCTTATGTCCAATCTAGATCTGCCCTCTTTCAGTTTAAAACTGTTGCCCCTTTTCCCGTTACTACAGGCCCTGGTCTCTCTCTTTCTTACAAGCCCCTTTGTATACTAAAAGGCTGCAGTAAGGTCTCCGTGGAGCCTTCTGTGCTCCAGGCTGAGCAACCCCAACTCTCTCAGCCTTTCCTCGTAGGAGAGGTGTTCCAGCCCTCTGGCCATTTTGGTGGCCCTCCTCTTGACCCACTCCAGCAGGTCCATGTCTTTCCTGTACTGGGGAGCCCAGAGGTGAAGGCAGTACTCCAGGTAGGGCCTCACCAGAGCGGAGCAGAGGGGCAGAATCACCTCCCTCAACCTGCTGGCCATGGTTTTTTTGATGCAGCCCAGGATGCGGTTGGCTTTCTGAGCTGCAAGCACACATTGCTGGGTCATGTCCATCTTTTCATCCACCAGTACTCCCAAGTCCTTCTCCACAGGGCTGCTCTCAATACCTTCATCCCCCAGCCTGTATTGATACTTGCCCCAACCCAGGTGCAGGACCTTGCTCTTGGCCTTGTTGAACCTCATGATGTCCTATACAGGGAGAGGAAATAATGACTAGGGGTTTTTGTTTTGTTTAGTTGTTTTTTTAAAAAAAACAGATCGGGATTCAGCAACAGCAAGATGCTTTTGCATAAGCTGTCTCACCAGTTTTGATGTGGTGAAACTTCGACCATTTGCATACTAATGGATTTGGATCCTGACAGTCATTAAATGAAGTCATCCTAATTGAGAAATTCTGTGAACGCAAGAATTCAAACAGAGAAATGGAAGAGTAAATTTTATTGAATGATAAAAACTAATGGCATTACAGTTAGTTTCAGCTCTGCTGGAATACTAGTTTTCTAATTTTTCTGTAGGAGAAAGTGCAACAAATCAATTATTCAGACCGTTAAACAAACTAGTAATTGTTAATTTCTCTTCAAAAACTGCATAGTTGAGCAGTTGTGCAACAAGTATATAAATTTCTGCAAAACCCTGAAGAAAGATTTTATGGTTCTTTGCCTTGAATCTGGTGGCAGAGGAGATCACCTGCACTGGTCAGATTCAGAGTGCTTTTTCCCTTTTTTCCCACTCTGTAAGAAAGAATCAAAACAAATATTTGGTTAATATACTAGACATGACACTTTATATCTGCAGTTATTTTTTATATTAAAGTAGTATAAATTAACAAGAAGAAAACTCAGGAGTTAAGTTGCATACTTTTGTTAAATTATACAACTATTATGGGATGCAAACTCGTCTGAACTTGATATATTGTTATATAAATTAAAACAGTCAAGGCACAGGATACATAACTGAGATGTTAACATCTAAGGACAAAAAAACACTGGTTTATTGCTTTTTTATTGTTTTTGTTTGTTTCTTTGTTTTTACTCTACAGATTTTGGTTATATTTTTGAAAGGAATCCTTATGTTTCAAAGCAGTATTCTATAAAAAAGGGGGCCTCATGTTGTTAAAGACAATCCCACAAAAAGTAGTAATATAAGAAGGGTTGTCCTGGTCAGCCTGCAATATTACAGGAGAGAATAATAAAAGCAGAAACAACAATCGCTGCAAGGCAGATGAGACAGTTTTCCTAAACCAAAACACACACACACAGACACAAAAAAAAAAAGTTAAAAAAAAAAGTAAAAACCCAACCAGCCAGACAAAAAACATCAAGGTGATGAAGCAAGAAGTACAGCAAGATGTGAAAAGATAAAAGCCTGTTAGATTGGGGGAGGGCAGGGGAAAAAGGGCAACAGAATAGCTGATTTTGCAGTAATTCCTAAGCATATAACAAAGACCATTTTTTGTAAACTTTTTACTGTTATTCTATTAATCCTGTTTATTACAATTAGCCACAAGATAAATTTATCTTACTCAAAAATTTCTATTTACAGAGAAAAATATGCAAGACTAGCAAAGGCATAGATGGGAGGAGAAAACAAACAGAAAGACTGAAGTTGTCAAATTGATTCACATCACCATTCTTACAAGAGATTTACTTTAGTTTCAATTAGTGGTCAAGAGCACTCAGCTTGTCTGTAAGGGACTGAACAAGCATATATATTTGTCAACTGCTGCAAGACAATTTTAAGAAGGAACTTGCTCACTGCGGTAAAGTGACAAGGGGAAAAAGACAAAAGAAAAAGATGAGATTACATACAGAACCGCACGTAATGCTAGGTAAAGAACCTGATGTAATCAGAAAAGATTTGTTGCTTCAGAAAGAGTAATTATGGCTTAACAAGCCAGTTTTCACAAAATTATAGTATTCCAACACAAGCAATGTGTTGCAGCTTGAAATAGGAGAGCTTGCCAAAGACTACATGGCTACCTTAGAAGTTTGCATGATATGCTACAGGCTCTCCTTGTAACCTATGCAAAAGGTCTTCTTTGTCAAAACAAACAAAGAAAAACCCCACCAAAACCAAACAAACAAAATGCCAAATGTGTGTCAAGTCATGCACAAGTACAAATCCTTATTCGCAAATACTGTCGCTCCTCAAAAAAGCCAGAATGCTAAGCAGCATAATATTTATGCAAAAGTTAACTGAAATTCACTAACATGAGTTGCATTAGCAGCAAAGTTGAACAAAACAGCAAGACACTGATCTCACTCATATTTCGACACAACTTGTTGTGAATCTCCCATAAAGATTTGGCTAGAGACAGAACTAAGATACTGAACCAAAGAAAGAGCATGGCAAAAAAAGCCATGAAGCCTACAGTTAGTGCAGTTACACACAGTTAACTTGGACAGTGAAACCAACTTGTTGCTTGAAGTATGTTTATTAAGTAGCATACTTCAAGAAGTTTTCAAGTAAAAAAACAAGTGGTAGACCTCAACTTGCCAAAACTGTGCCTTAGTTTTGCTATTTTTTTTTCCTACAATATGAACCATTAATTTTTTTTAACTGGAAAAATTAGAGCTAATGGGTCAGTTCAGAGCACGTTACCTCATGATAGTCTCAGCAACATCAAGAACAGGTAAACTTACAGAAAATAACTACCTGGTATTTCGTTAATTCTGCCTGCAGTAGCTTCACTTTGGATCTTTCTTGCTCTAATGCAGCATGAAGTACAGTTACCTAAAAACATACAGAATATGAATTTATAAAATATCCTTAACATCTGTGAGTTTATCAAGCCAGTGCTGTTCTCCATTAGTACTGCGTTGGATGAACAGGTAATACATGCTGAGTTCAAGAGTGACTACCACTATCATGGTACATGAACTGAAAGGACAAGAAAAATATTCTTTCATGACTTTTACTTCCAAAGCAACATTTACTGGTTTACCTGTATAATGATATAGAAGAGCTATAAAGTTAGAAACTCTTCGACTTTTGGAGTCTTCCTTAGTTTATTCCATAAAACACTTAACTGATGTAGTATTATGCAACACAGATAAGCTTATTACATCACCCTCAAAAAATAGTACTGCTATATGCAAGACGCACATGGACCAAAAACTAAGCATAAAAGTCTTGCATTGCCGACTGCCATGTCTTAAGTAATTTGTAGCCACATGACATGTCTTAAGTAATTTGTAGCTTACTTCTGTTCATAAACTTGAGACTAGAAAACAAAATAAACCAAAAAACCACCCAGGAAAGAAGCTTCTTCTGAAGCACTTTTCTGAGTTTCCTGGCTTAGGTTACCAGAGAATGATATTCCTAAGGTGCTGTTCAGAGCAAAATCATTTCAGGCATGCTGAGGTCTGCTGTCCTTCCAGAAACAGTTCTAAGTGATTCATACTGGAGATTTACATAATACATGTCCTCTGACACACACAGTGCAGGGCTAAAGATGAAATGTAACATTTTTTGCTTAAAACAAGTTTTTGTTTCAGCTTCCTCCCTCCCCCACCTCTATCACTGCCTTAAATAAATAGCATCTTTGAAATACCCATGAAATTTTAGATTTAGAAATCCTTGCTCACCTGTACGGTCAATTCATTTTTGATAATTTGAGATTCATCAACCTGTAGAAGTATTTCTGCTTTGTCCTTCACTATAGAGAAAGATACAGCATGAGGATCTTTCTAGATTTGCAGGTCTTTATCTGCAATAGCACTGTGACATCTCTTTATTTCACTATTTTGTTACCTGTAAATAATGCTGTCTTCACCAAAAGAACAGTAGATGCTGTAAATCAAAACCAACCACTAGCTACCAGTGCCATTAGTAGCAGCTTGAAAAGTTCCGGAGCTGAAACCCCAGCCTTGCACTACTTACCCCACGCTTAACACTGTGAGATGGATGGATTTTAGAGGTACCCATTGTGAACAAAGTCCATCAGAACACTGAATATTGGCAATGGATCAAGATTTGGGGATTGTAAGTTTCACATACAAGCTCAGTCTTAGCTATGGAAACTTCTATTTATTCAAATACGGAGATGGTCAAACTATTTAGCTAGTGCATGTGAAATATCTGTGGATAACTTAAAATTCTCAATATGAAGAAATGAAGTTTTTTCCAGGCTCAGTTCTGCCATGAACTTTCTTCTCCCCAAAATACAGAATACTCAGTCTGTAGAAGAACACAAAACTGCTCATTTTATAGTATGTTACTCTTCCACAAATGAAAAACAACCTTCAGAACTTCACCTCTTTCCTCTCAAGAGGGAAGTATTTTGTCTTCGCTCAGAGACTGACCTGAAGTAATAAAGTTTCAAGTTAAAATTTGCAGTGATCAATCACATTATGAACATTTGAACTAGCTTAGACATGGGTTTTGTAAATGTACTTAAAAAGAAAAAAATTGAGCTCTCTTTTAGCTGAAAATTTAGCCTGGAAAAGAAACTACATTCAAGAGCTAAATTAAGAAACTGAAAAGCAAAGGCAATTTTGTAACAAAGTTAGTGTGGCTAGCACCACAGCCTCAACATCAAGTAAGATCAGGAATATTAAAGGATAACTATGCATAACAAGTATAAAGATACTAGGATATTGACATATATATATAAGTGTGTGTGTATATATAAATTTTTTCCCCCAAACTTTGACAACAAACTCTGAATCATAAAAATTCTGAATAGTATTATAAGAGATGTAAATTATCACACAGTTGCATATATAATCCTATGGTTTGCCATACAATTAATAGGGATAGCTAAAAGACTTGCTTAGGTGTAGAATGTTTCCAACAGTTCAAAGCACAGCTTGCAAACATGCAAGAACTGAACAGTTTCCTCAAGTGTGTCTAAACAGGTATTATGATGAGATCAGGCCAGAACAGATAGCTATCACTAGCAAAAGAAAAGTCTAACTCAAAGAATCCCTGTACCTAAAATGTAACTGAACAGTATGTATTTTAAAGTTTGTATTAGTTCAACATGCAGTTGATTATTTCATTACGTAACAACAGAAATGCAGCACTGTGTGGTCCACCAAATTCTGTAGTTCACTGCAGTTGCTGTAAACTAACAGCTTCTTAGTTCTTTATAGCTGTCACTGCGACAAGTTGTTTTTAAAAAGCTGCTTTGAAAGTTCCTTCCATGTTTTAAAAAGAACATTTAAGTTTCCTGATAAAACTCTTACTTACTTTCACCTTCTTGCATCATCTTCAGAAGCTGTGCATTTCTTGCTTTTACTTCTTTATACTTTGTCTGCATTAAAGAAATTGAATTATTACATGTATACCCTACTAAAAAAAAGTATACTATAAACTAAGCGTGACTTGCGAGTTTAAAATGACGACTTCTGCAGAGAATCTAACCATAGAATCACAGAATCATAGAATAATTTTGGCTGGAAAAGGCTTTTAAGATCATCTATGTCTTAATTAAACCACAGCCAAAGTAAGGAACACACAACAGGAGAAGTGGATTAATAACACAGTCAAGAAAAAGAGGCAAGCACAAGGCTTAGAGCAAGTTAAAATAAGAAAGCTATGTCAGTGCATTGACAGTGCAGGAACCACCATTCAGGTCTGCCTGAAGTATATAGGCCTGTTGTATTGAAGGCTTTGTGGTTTCTCCCCTGAAAAATTACAACAATTATAAATGCACTTTCTAGATACTGAGATAATATAAATAGTTTGCGATATTACTTGGCAAGTAGGATAAGACCCCACTGCTCTACAGATTATTTTATTCAGCAGTTAGTGTTACTATTTTACAGTTTCTTTCAACTCTTTACAGTTTACTACTGAAGAACCTATTTTTACTGTTTTTTCCAACCTATCTGATATCACCACACTTTATTCGTAAGTCAGTCTTTTCCTTAATTAGCCACCAATGTCAGTTCTAGCCATGTATCTTAGCTGTAAACTTATTTTTCCTGTCACAAGTCTCATCATACAGTTTGCTCTTGTAGGCTCTTGAAAATGGTTTAATTTCAGTCATACTGTTTTTTGCAGTAAAGAAGCTACTATCTTCTACTTCGAGTAGCACACCAGTCCTTGAGGTTAATTAGCTTACATTTAAGCCAGACCTTTCATGGCTGCCTAAACCTGTTATTAATGTGTCTGGACAAGTTCATAAAATTAAGCAGCTGTATCATTGCCCATCACCTTACCAGTATCCTTATGCATCATGTATATACTGTCAAACAAGTGCTGACAGTGGTAGATATGAATGGTTTTATACTTTAAAGTTTTACCTGGGGTTTCCAACTTTAGTACACAGTGAAACAGCTGTTAATAAAGTTCATGTCTTTATCACTACAAGTAAAAGTACTTCTTAGAAGCATCAGAAAACTCCCAGTCTGTCAACCTGCTCAGTCTACCTTAAGCAATGAAGAAAAATAGTACTAGAATAATTTAAAATAATTCTATACTGCTTTACTGTATTTTGTTACAATGCCAGGTCCTCATGGAAATTTTGCCCTTTTTGCTCTAGATACTATCCAGACAACACTAACATGGACTGAAAACAGGGAGACAGATAATTTTCCTTAGCTACTCTGGTGTATAGCAATACCATGTAGTTATTAATGAGCAAATCTTTTCTTCCTGGTGTGTTTTAGCATATGTCAAATCTGATTTCCAATTTCACTTGCATGTAATAGGAAAAGATACATCAAAATACATGACTCCGTTCTTGTTACGCTGCAGCTTTAAAGGAGCTTCCCTCAAACCTGACAAAATATCCATTGATTTCTTTAACTACTTCAAATGTTGGACTGAATCTACAAAAAATCCCAACACCATGTAGTTCTTACATGCAAGAGAAGCTGAGCAGAATTTAGAAAATAAATAGGTTGGAAAAGACCCAAGAAAGTCCAACTTCCTGCTCAAAGCAGAGCTAACTTCCAAGGCAGATCAGATCGCTCAAGCTCTTGCCTAAGATGACATCTTTTTTTTTTTTTGACCATGAAAACAGCAATACTAGAAAACAATGATACGCCAGATATTAAGTTTATTTCCTGATGTTTTGTCTTGATTCTTTTGATTATTTTTAGATGCTTAACTTACTTACCAAGGAAGACTGCTTCATGTGGTACTGAAAGAATAATTTACTCTGTAAACACATAGTCTGTGGCCAGAGTAAAGCATCTCTACAGATTGGTCACATTTTAATAAATACTTTGTTTCAAATGTTTAATAACTTTAAGTTTTGTCTACTATTTGAAGGTATTATCAGCTACATACCTCCCACTGAGTTATTGTATTTTTCAGTTGCTCAATTTCTGCATCTTTCTTTTCAAGCTCGAGCTTTAGTCGTTCTGTTTTTCCATCTTTCAAAACACTCTCCTGTAAGCAAGAAAACATCAGTTCTTAATTTAGTCATGTGAATTCAATTCTTGGGAAAGGCAACTTATTTCTTTACTAGAGAAGAGAATTTCTGATCAAAACTAAAGAGGTATATGTGAATAGATACCAAGAGGATAAGAAACGCAGCAATAAATATTGGCATTGTCTGTGGAGCAAAAATTATTTCAATCACAAATGTTTTGTGTTAGAAAAATTAAGTCATTTAAATACCTCTTCCGACAGATAAAAATATTACAGTGTTGTGGGGGTTTTAATTCTTTAAGATTATCATGCTTTTGATTTGTGCTTTCTTCTACTCAGGTGCTCCCTTCTGATCATTGAGTAAGCTTCATTAGGCAAACTTCTTCACTTCAGAAGGACTGCTGTTTTACATGCCTGGTTGTATTCACGAGATGTGCAGTTATCTGTTTCACCGTAATCAGTGGGCTGGACTCTCCTTTTCTCTCTTTCAAGTATTCTGTGAACATCATCTTCCAGCCTGTTGAAAAATCCTCCATCATGCAACGAAGACTGGGAAGAGTTCAGTTCCTGTCAAAAATAAGTACCATAATATATGTTCCTTTACCTGTAAGTTAATATTGAGCTAGAAATCAACATGTTTAAAAAAATAGCTTAAGTCATGGAAAAACGTTACATCCAGATATTGTTTTATGTTGTACATCCTGAGAATACTGTGACTTCCACCTAAAGAATATGATACCAACTGAAGAGCCTAGAAATGAATTAATATTTAACTGATAAGATTACACAAAAACACGAAGTTGGAATTTAATAATTTTGCCCTATGACTACACTAATTTATGTTTTATTTCACTGTTAACTATTATTCCCTCTAAGAGTTTTAATATTTGTGGACTGTACCACAACACAGTAGCATCACAGTACTTTATTACCTAATTTGCTTCTCTTTTTTGTACTAGAAATTGTATTTTTAACATGTTTTTAAATCTGAAGTTGCATCAAAGACTGTCTGAAAACTAAAACAAGAAGTAGTTCTAAGAAAGCCAATACTAAGTTTTCAAGATACAAGAACTGCAGATATACATCTCTTAAATCTGCATCTGTAAAAATGCTCCGAATGGAAATCAGTCAGTTTCAGAATGTTTAATTGATTATTGCTACAGAAAGTGCCAAAAGTAATTACCTTCTAAACATAAGAGGTTTTGTTTGGTTTTTTTTAATTCAACTAGTTTGAATAAGACTTACCTCATGTTTTTTAGCAAGGTTATCTGAAAAGAATAGAAAAAATGACATCAATAAGTTACTCAGATCTTGTACAGCTGGCTATTGAAACAAGACATTTTGAAAAGTAGGGGAAAAAACCCGTCTATCGGAGTTCTTCAACATTAACTCTCCTCTCCAAGTCACAATAAAAAGAGTCATTACTAAAGCATTAGAAGCCAAGATTATAAACTATGTATTACATCAATCCCTGTATTTTCATCTTCTTCCAGATCTTTCAGACTATTGAATCAAAAGCAGCATCCCATATTTGTTTGCTTCAGTTAAAGTGGAAGGCAATGTCCTCGGTAAAGAAACTTAAGGAATTTGTTGGTTTGATTCTTTTTAAGTCTATTTAGGCTTTTATAGCATGTATCTCACTGTATACCTGAATGTCTTCCATGCCTTCCAGACTGCTGTGCTTTCAATCTTTTTCCTCTATTCAGATTATTTGGAAATAATGCATTTAATAAATATTGTAGATTTAGATAAAAACATCCTTAAAAGAAAAAACTTAGAAAACAAATTACTTTCTTCCTTTCCTAGCACCTACCTTGATTTCTTCACTAAAATTCAGAATCTCTGCCCTATAGACACAGACGAAGGGGTTTTAAACATATAAATAATGCATATAATGAATATATAGAAGTTACTTAATAAAAGCCAGTATCATGAAGAAAGGCAAACAATGACTTGCTATTACCCAGGAAACACAGAAACTCAGTTGCCTGAGGAGTGCAAACTTGGTAAAACAAAAAACCCCACTTAGATTTAAAAAAAGAAGTCACGTTAAGAGTGTTTGAGTCGCCACCCACCCCAGGGATACTACATGAAATTACGTTTTCCTTAACCTCTTCTTTTCTTCCTGCTAATCTAACTAGCCCGTTATTACATAACGAACACTTAGCTTTTAGACTTGGTAGGACACACTAACTGCGACTCGTTTAGTGTTTGTTTAAACACAGTATTAATGAACAGAGACAGAAGGGCATTTTGCTGTTAGCACACACACTATGAAAATTCCAAGCAGAACAGCTCATATGGTATGATAAGGCATACCTATATTACTGTCTGACTGAAAGTCTTTCAGAGACACAGTGAGAGGTTTGTCTTTTCCTTGCTGGTTCTTTTTCTTATTCACAGACTTTGACTGAGGTGAAGTATTTTCAACGTTTTCATATTCCTAGAAGAATAAAGTCCCACTGGTATAATTTTCTTCAATACCCAAATATTTTTTCCTGAAGCTTTATAAAGGAAAAAAAGTAGCAATAATGTACTAAAGGAGATTTTAGCCTGAACAGTAATTTGCAGACTTCAGATTGCTTTAGAGAGTGCAAGACATATCAGCAATTAAGCATCAATTCTGTTCTCTGAAGTAGAGCATTGCTCTTCACTAAACAGCAAATGAACTACCTGCCTAATGCTTCCTCAATCACCTACGTCACATTTTATCCAGAAACTTACAAACTGAGAATATACTGTAGTCAAATGCAGGAAGGCAGAGTGCTACATAATGCAGGTTGCTACTTTCTTCAAAAAACAGAGGTCTACTGCACCTTCTTTTCAGTCTCAAAATATTCATACTCATTCAGTAGAAGTCAGAGAGCTATTAGTGTGCAGCAATGCTCTACCAATTGACTCCTAGTGAGATCAGACATGATAGCCATTTGAATGGGAGTCCCACCTACCCACACATCTATGTCAACATTCTTAGCAAATTATCAATGTCCCAGTTCTTAAAAATAATATTACATACTAATTAATTAAATATTTTAACTAAGATTTAAAATAATCTTAAATGTTAAGTAATCTTAAGAAAAAAACCTGTTATATAGAAAGCAAAGATGAAAATGGAGTGATTTTCTTTCCATTGAAACAAGATTTGTTCAGCATACTTATGTACTGTATGTTTTGAATATATACTATATATTTTAAACTATTCAGAGGTAATTCTCAAAAAGTCTACAAACAATGCTATGCTACTATGCCTGAAGGTTGTCTCCACTTCAAAAAAAAACTTTTAGTATGTCAGTTAAAAATTTATCCTAGGTTTTCAAGAACTACAGTACTCCTGCCCTTAAAAAACTGAAGTATTGTACAAAGATATTTGCACAAAAGTGCACGTGCAATTTTTATTTATGATACATAATTATTTTTAAATTTACATATTTTCATAACATTTCATTGGCTCCTGATTTATTGCAAATACAAAGCAACTTCCTGTTAGAAATAAAAATTTCATCTAAGCACACTTTTTCAGAACAATTCTTGAGTTTTGCAAGAACCACTCAGAAAACAGCATCCTGACCAGCTAAGAAAATGTATACAGCTTATTAGAACTAAAATATTAACATTCAGAGAAAAGATGTTAGCAAAAATGCAAATGATTCAACCATAACTAACACTTTAGTGCCTAAGGAGAAGTCAGTACTTTGATTCTCTTACTCTTCAAGTGTGCTGGATTTTTTCTGAGGAAGGTCAGGAACTCTTGTTGTACTCTTAAAAAATTTCAGCACATTTATATGCCAGAAAATTGAGAAAGTAAAACTAATTTTCCACCTTTACAGGCCAATTAACCCCCTCCACACTATTGTATACGGTTTCTTTCAAATCCAATATTTCTCTGAACTCTTAAGCATCTGAAGAGTGTAAGCAAACAATTTACATGAAGAAAATGATACTTTTAGGAGGCTTTTTGCTTTATTTTTAAAATTCAACCCGCAAACTTGTTGTACAGCTTTTACACTACGATGAATCCTGCAAATACCTTTTTGTGCTCTTCATATTCCAGTTTGCTTAGCAGCAATGCTTTTTCAAGATCAGCTTCAAACATTTCAGATGTCAGCTGAAGAAACAAAATTAACATATTTCACATGACTAGGCTGTTAAAAAAAAAAAAGCAGACAAAACCACTAAGACCATGCGAAAATTTCAGTTTCAATACACATATCACTACAATTGCCAAAAAGCTAAGTTTCACTGATGTGACATATGGCATTATTAACAGTGAACACACCTTTCTGTACCATAAGTAATAAAGTATCTCGCTTCAGGAAACTTTGTGACCGATGTAAGCATACAACAAGTTGTGCACATCTTTACATAACACGGTTACCATCTTAATGATTTATTTACATGAGATATCTTTAAAATAATTTTATTTTTAGTCTGAAGCATGAAAACCAGAGGATGTTAAAGGATGAAAATGGTCATTGTAGACCATCAGAAAGTCTTTAAGTGCTCATCCATTGCACAGAAAAGATTCGGTTGAGCACACTTTATTTTTTTCTTAAAAGGAGAGCAGAACTAAGAAAACCTGAATTATATCAAGATGTTTTCTCTTTCATTTCAGAGAAAAGGAAGTATGTAAGTCTTCTTGGGAGATGCAAAGAAAATTTGAAGGTTCTAGGTGTGAGCTATTAAGAAAAAGAGCTAGGAACAACACAACAGGAATGAAGGATGGGATACCTCCTTTTTTCTTGTGTTATAGGAAAATAGGAAAGTGCAGGAAAGTCCAGCTCCTGCTGCATAAAGGGTTGAAGGATTGAATTGCGAAGACCAGTACTAGCAACAGTTCAATGCAGCCAAAATAAGAGATCTACCTAGGGGACATAGATGCTATAGCTGAGGTAGATAGTGGGTAATCTAACTGTGTAAACAGCTAATAGTTACTATTTACAGCAAAGTTAACCAAGATTAAGTTGTTCTGAATGCAAAACTCTGTTCCTTTGAGGTCTACTGTCTTAAGGAATCACTACAATCCTCTGTGTGATGTGCTGCCAAATGGAAGCCTTATTCTTCATCATAGCTCTCTCCTTTTCATGCCCTTAACTGAAATATTAATTAGTAAAAATAATTACTTTAACAATAATTTTCTTGTTCTTTGAATTTCAAATTGAGGTCCTTTTCATTCACCCCAGAATAACTATGAGAGCTGTTAAAGTGAATAAATTACTGAAGTGGTCTTAATGTACTTTGCTCAAACTGGGCTGCGTGACATACACTAGCTTTTTTGTTTGTAGGAGCCGCGTTCTGAAAAAAACCTTGCAAGTTCGCATATGCTTTACATATGCCTAAAAGTGATTTATTACACGGTGTAAAAGCACACACATTCTTCCTAATTGTTTGTTCAACAATTCATATGATCAGTCTTGCTTAAGAGAAAACCAAGGAGTGGCTTCTAGTTTTTACTGCAGTAAACCAGCCCTTTTTGAGCAGTTATTTGAAACGCAGTAAAATAGTGCTCTCAGCATAAATTGCTACAAGATTTCATGTAGACTTCAGGGTCCCGTCATTCCCAGCTTTGCACTTGGTTTGCGGTTCAAGCTTGGCATCAACCGATTGCCCTGGCCCTCACTGGCAAGGTTTTTGTAGCAGGGGAGGCAGGGAAGAGCCACAGACCCAGGGCAGGAGCCAGGCTGGAGACGCCTCGGAACCACACAGGGGCAGCGAGCGGCAGGGCAGGAGCAAAGCGCTGCTGGTGGAGGGGGCCCTGCAGATGGACCCCTGCCTCCTACACTGCCCACAGCTTCACAAAGAGGGGGGAGGAGAGGTTTTGCAGCAGCCAGAGATGTTTTTTTTTTCCTTGTTTTCTTTCAGTATCAGAATTAGTAATTAGAGGTTTGATAACTGACAATAAATTAAATTGACTGAAATTCCCCAAAAGTCAGTGAACTGGTTTTGCCCACAACTGTTGCATCCAATCTGACAATGATAGTTACCCATCAAAAATTAGGCCTTGTAGTCTACTACACTGAAAAACTCAACATGAACATGATGGAAAAAGGAGGGAATGGGGATTAAAAAAAAAAAAAACCACACAAAAAAAACAGGCTACCAAAAAGACAACAATTAACACAGAAAAATACAGTGAACTCACAAGAAAGACAAACTTAGGATTTTTACCTTTGTGTGTCTGAAAGTGCTAATTTAGCATACAAGCTCCTAAATAATTATCAAGAATTAGTACTACCACAGTGTTGCTATAACTATTAAACAAGTGGTCAAAAATTGCATTATGTGATCTCTAGTACAATAACCCCTATCATAATTTACTACCTAGCAGTTATTCAGTTCAGGACAAGACTGAGTGTTTGAAGCTGGCTATACAAAGGTCACTCCTTCTAAGCAGCAGCCAAGTTGAGGGCTTTAGACCTAAGTATCCTCAAAGCCAGTCATCTCCCCCATAGTTTCCCAAGCACATCCAGTCCTGCTTCTGTGCATAGCCTGACTGTCCCAGGATAGACAGCTATAGGCTCACTACCACTTAAACCTATCTAGAAATCTAGAAATCACCGGTTTGTTTGCTTAGGTACTGGGAGCACACAACCAATAGGCAAGTTCTGGAGTACACCTAATAGCCATAAGAAATTGAGATCCATGCACAAAGCTCTTACAGTAACTCTCCTAAAAGCTTTGCTGAAGACTGACCACGCTGTTTACAGAACAGCTCTGTAGTTAAGACAAACGTTGACAATCTTTTAAAAGGAAAGTGCCAGGCTGTATGCTAATTTGGAAGGTAAATATGAAAAGAGGAACTCTTCATGAACTGGGAGATGCTCCTTGGGGAGCTGACCTCTGTGGAAGAAGGGAGATGCTGTTTCTCACCCAGTGCTGAATATCACCATCCCTTGCAGTATACCATTTAAAATTTACCTTTTCATTATCAATGTTGTATTACTGGACAAGGGAAACTTCGGAACCAAAAGGCTTTCATGCCTTCTGCATCTGAAGACAAATTCATGTGTCTCCTCTCAGATAAGGATGTGCCAGTTGCAGCTTGAACCTTCCTGCCTATCAGTTTCTCCAACTCAGAGAAGAGATGCTTTTATTAAATCTTACAATACAGTCAGCATGACTTTATGAAAAAACAACACAGAGACAGCAGAATAATTAAGAACACTAATCGACATCTGACAAAACCTTGACTAAACAAGGTATTCTGTCAAACAGACCTTTCAGAAAAATTGTCATAGATGTGGAATAATGCCTTTTTGTTTGGGAATTCTACATTCTCAAGTCTGCTGAACCCACTTTGCAGCTGGTCCCCTGTCTTTCCCGTAAAAAAAATCTGACTTTTCATAAGCTTCCAACACTTCTCCATCTCAAAAGAATATCTTGCCTTTTCTTCTTACTACAGGGACCTCCTGTAAGTTTTAAGTACCATCTCTTGCTAATTTTAAGAGTGGTGCTACTGTCGGCTTCAAGATAGTTTAACTGATTCTTCCTTTAACACACACCACACCAACATAAGCATGGCATCTCTCTCTCTTTCTTTACCTTTTTTCTCTGTACCTGCCTTTAATATAACAACTTCTTAAAAAGCTATACAAAGACCCTATCAAGTTTATATTCCTAAAGTGGCAGTAATGATATAATAAGCTGGTACATGAGCAACAGCTGGTAAGGACTTTAACACCTTCCATGCGAGGCTCCATTCTCTGTCAGAATTCAAGATTCAATGGGCTGAGTGGGGCAGGACCTCACTGCTAAATGGCTAAGACACTTGGGTAGGGTAATTGCTGCATATACATGTGTACCGTGCAACATCCCCCAGCGGAAGTAAGGCAGCTTCAGTGGGATGCAACGGTGCAGATGTGAATCACCCTGCAGTCATACTTTTGGCACAGTCATAGGAAGGGAAAGAGAAGGGCTTGGAGCATGAACATCCCAGGTTTTATTTCAAGTTTTTTAACAATTAAACTACACAGAAGCTAGACAACTGCCTGCCCCACCTCCTCTTGGGTTGTTTAGAGAATACAACTGAATGGGCCATGTTTTGAACAAGTGTGAGGAAAAACTACCTGCGGCCCTTGGTAATGTGCAAGTTCAGAGTCCCTGTGCTCAGATCAACTAGACAGATTATTGCTCAGCAGATTTGCCTTTTCAGACCTACTCCAAAGCACGTGCTTTTCTTCACTTATTACTAGGCTCAAAGCATCTAATCTCTTAATACTTGTACCTTGTGTCTGTAATTAAATTTACCTTAAGATCACAATTCTTTAAATCAGTTATCCATGGATTCTTCAAATTGTAGTCTTACAGAACATAACAAATAATAATTTATCAGGAGTGATACAGAAACACTGTAACTCCTTACTTCAAAAAAGTCACATTGAATGCATATCCTGAAATGGAACTGTTGTGACAATTTGGGCAACAAGATTACAGACAATAGAACAAGTTATTCCTGAAACTGTTGGTGGTAATATTAAATAGAAATAATAAAGCATAGCTGTGGATATTGAAGGCTCATCTTTCTTTGTGTGACACTGGTCTTTACTTCCTAATTTTTATTTCAGGGTCACAAGTCCTCTACTGCCTTGTTAGTAGGCTACTGTGGAAATCGGTGGGGACTTACAGGCTTTTAGAGATTCTGCTTAAAAGCCTAAAAATGCATACACCATAATTAAACTAAATTCCTCACCATTTTCATTCGTGTCCTTTCTTCCCCTCATACAAGAAAAAACAAGCTAATTCAATGCCTGCCAGTGCTGTAAGACATGGGCAGCATCTACAAACAGTGGAATAAGAGTTTTAAAAGGAGTCTTATTGATTATGCATAATTTATTGAGAATATCCTCACAAGACATGCACTCCATGTTATATACTTTGAGCTAAAGCAAACATTTTGATTGTTGTTCTAAGACAGGAATCACAAGTAGCAATTTCTTTTTCCACCCATCAGATTCAAATATTCACATTTTTAAGAGTTTCTGGATAAAGTTAAAAGTAAGTTTAAAGCAGTTGGGCAACTTTTTGGCACTTTGAGGTCTAAACCCCTATGCTTTAAACCATTTATGAAGCAAAAAAAGTTCACTGTAACCTCTGTGGTTGCCTCAAAACCTATAATGTCAAAGTCATACCAATAACTTGAAACAAAGTTTAATTATTTCACATTTACAGAATACCAACACTGCAATCTAACAGTGATCATGCCAGTGTCAACCATTTCACTAAAAGTTTAGTGTAGCAAAAGAAGAGTTAACACAGAATTTGCTGGAAAAATAGTCACAGTCCACACTGTACCTCCATTCTTTATGCTCAGTCCAGTGTGACCACAGAAAGCTGTTCAAAATGTAGCTATGCTGCAAAACAGTCTATTCTTCAACCTCAGGAACTGTGACAGCATTTGGCTATTCCTTTTTCCCATAAAAATGGGACAGAGATGTCTTTAGAACTGTAACTACCATATGTTACAGTTATGGTAATTGCTTTAAATTTATTTTTAAAATAAGAGAATCCTACAGTAGCTTCACAGCCTGTATGTCAGTAAGATCAAAATTAATAAGAATTGATTGTTTATACCCAAGTTTACTTTCTCTGACATTTCACCACCCAGTAATTAGACTATAAAATTCTTTTTTACCTGAAATAATTGCTTCATGCCACACAGAATAAAAAACCTGCTAGTACTGAACAAAGCAAATCTGTACCTTAAAAAGTAATTCTGAAGTTAATTAGCTCTGGAAGTTTTCAAAGGGATTATTAGGTCATTACTCCACTGCTAGGATAACCACCTTGTAGCCTGGAAAGTTAAGAATGTGGCTATATTCTCTTTAAGGAGGCACCTATACCAAAGCATTAGCCACCCAGAAAAATCAAGGACAGTATCCAAATGCAGTCTTTTGTTAATATGACTTTCTGTGTCATGTCTTAACTAGAACAAGAAGCAGTTCAATACCACCTTTTTTGGTGAGACTAAGTCGAAAATTTCTCTGTAGAAGAAAATAACACCCTAGTAGATGCCAGCACAGAAGTTCAACAGCTTCATGAAACACTTTGTAATGCCAGTTGGTGTCACATAATAGCAATTTGCCTCGAAAAAGTTTCTGCAAAGGCAGACCTTCTGCAGGGCATCTTCAAGCATAACAAGACAGCCCAAACTATCATCCACAGTGAATGAGTGCATAGCACACAATTATTTAAAAGGAATCTAGAAAAAAGTTTACCAAAACATTTCTTTAAGCACCATCCAAAAAAATGCACTCAAATTCTTTCTTTGTCCATGTATGCTATTTTGGCCTAAAATAGTTGAAGTACTGCAAACAATGCATAACATTCATATAATTTAAAACACCATATGAGAAAATCACTATACATTCTTCGGTATCAAAAGGAGTATTTTAAATGCTGAACTCAAGTAAAGAACCAAAAGGGCTAGTTTTAACTGTAAGTACTCTTCCTAACTGACATCACAAGCACAGCAAACTACTGTATTTTTTCAAAGTGAAGATTATTTTACTGTTTTTGATTGAATGCATTTTGCTGTGCAATTTCTGTCTGTGGTAGTTTTGGCAAGAAGAAACACAGTGAAAACATTATATCGGCCTTCATACAGGCAGTCAGTCTTTGCTTTATCTCTACTGTATTCTTCAAGTGTTAGTGAACCCTACTAACAATATAATTACCAAAAAGATGTTCTAACATTAAAAAAGAGAGGTTCGTACACTGATAGGACTACCCTAGTGTGCTAAAGAAAGTCAGCACTCGGAGTTCAAGTGTTCTTTGTTACCTAGAAAGGAACTAGTTATTTCATGCCTAACAGAACTTACCAAATCTGCTTTACTAGAGATCCATACTGTATATCTGTATACTGCTCCACCAAAACATCCCCAGCTTGGCTCCCACCACAGCGTTTTACCATCCTTCCATGGTATTACTTCTACTTGCTGTCGAAATGATAGAAATTCCTCTTACCATACTCCAGTATTCACTGTCTAGCTATGAGGTGTGCAAAGAACAGCACATGCTGGCTCTAAACATGACAGAAGAGGTGGCCTGAATTTCCACTGAAACCTTTCCTTCTATTTGGCAGTGTTTTGTTGCTTCCTCTCCAGCCATCTCTCTATCCATGAGACCTAACTTCATGAAGTAACATATTTCAGGAAATCCAAAGACAGCTAAATACAGTACACCGTACCTGCTCATCTCTTTGTCTCCACTCCTGCCAATTTTCCTCCTGAGAGTCCTTCTGCACTGCAGTGTGCAGTTTTTGTTCATGCTGAGATAGACAGCCGCCATATGAAGATTTCTGAGGGATCTTTTTAAAAGCAAGGTTTCTGAGCTGAAAAACAGTTATTTTTAACATTAATCAAAATTTTGTCAAGTATACAGAAACAGTCTTAATGGACTAACAAAGGCATTCAGACGTGTGCAAATAGACATCCATGTGCTTTGCCTTAATCTGTAGTTTGGGATACGTTTTTGTTTAATCATTTATACACAGACCATAATGTAAAATTATGAAATACCATGGATCAGAAACACCACAGCCACATAACATAAAACAATGAAAAAGTAAACATATTTTGCCAGCTGAAAACACTTTTAACAAATCTCAAGAGGTAACTGTGACACTTCATGCTGGATCAGGTATTATGTGTACTCACACCTGACCCAAATTAAATGTAACACCAAAGAAAAGGTGGTATACACAGATTTGGCATCAGCAAACAGAGGAACTAGAGGTTCAGGTAGAAAAAGAACAATGCAGACAGTCCTTACAGTTCGTCAACAATCTAAAGTTTGTCACATTTTAAGAACCTACATTAAGAATTATTTTTAATCACTGCACCATATGGATACAACAGTGTCATCTTAAGAATACCTTACATAATTATAAAATTTGATAGTGAACAAATAACCTGCAAATTTGGCAGCTCAAAAACATTCAGTGCTCAAGCTTAAACATTAACTGACACTCTAGACCTTCCTTGGAGTGAAAATAAAGGCATCAATACAATCTACTATCAATTTAGAGACAGGGATTTCCTTAACATAAAGGCTCTTGGAAGGGAGAAAGAAGCTATTATCAGATGAAAGATGAAACAAAGCGAAACAAAGTACAAAACAGTGTTCTCCTTAGTGTGTTTTTATTGAGCATCATAACTCCTTCCCAAAAATGGCAGCTCACCTAGCTTAAAGTTATTTAAAATCAGACAATAATGCAGATACTTCAGAATCATTTTCCTTTCCCTCCAAATAGTCCCTTGTGATACTCCCTTTTGCTTCACTACTGTCTCTCTTGCCACCTGCACCAGCACTACAACCCCTGCTTCCTTCTTCAGATTACAGTGCTAGCCAAGAACACTGGTGCAGACCATTCTGATTTATAATTTCAGTGGAATATAGCCACAGACACAGTACATGCTGGGGTGACAAAAAATGAGTCAGCCCTCTCTGCCATCACAAGAATAAGTATCATTTCCATACAAATGAATTTCTGTAGATATATGCAATGCATATGCATACACAAAATTATTTTGACGGTGTTAAAAGTTTTGATGGTGTTAAGGCAGGCATAAAGAAACATCAAGGTATGCTCATTGAAAACAATCTTCAATATAAAGAGAACAGCATCAAAGCTGGAAAAAACCCAATCACTTAGCATTACTGCTACTACTAAAATTTTTAAGATTTTAAGTTTAATAGATACTAAAAGAAAAAGGGATGGGTTTGGGGGTTTTGCTTGGTTTACACATTGAATTTGAGAAGAGATGTCTACAGTTTGAGGCAGAAAGATTATCTCAGATCAGTTGTCAGACACAGCAATCTAGAACTCCTGTTCCAGAATCTTGGAACAATTCTTTCAGTCTCACTTCTTAATTTTCATTTCATCTGAGGTTTAAGAATCCCAGTGTCAGAAAATCACCGTTTTTCACTCTGCTCCCCAATTCACATTAAAAAGAGGGGGGCAGGAGGGTCTGCTCTGGATTGAATAGGTTAAGGGGCTGGAGTGATAGGTATGTCTGAAAATTACAACCTAAGAAACCAGATTTTAAAGCTCTTCAGACAGAGTAGGTAGGCCTAACTGTCTCCTAAAAACAAACAAAAAAAAGCTTTGAAAGCACCTTTGAATTTTAACATGCTAGCTGACAAGCAGGCAACTAGAACTGACTACCTGCAAACCTCTGAAAACAAGTTGTTTCCTATCAACCACTTTTTAGAAAGGTCATGCTCTTCATCAGAAGTTAATTATTCAAGTGGTGCTGTCAAGAAAGTAAAACCTAGCAATTTATTCTCATTAAAAATTTTCAACTTGTATAATAGAAAGTATCCTGGTTTTGTATAAAGAGTTCTTAATAAAGCAAGGAAAAAAAAATGCAGTCTCTGTGACTAAGTAGCATTCCTTTCATTAAAAAACAAAGCAATGACTTGTCCGGAACAGCAAAAATTATTTATCAGATAACCTTACCCACTACTGAAAATAATCCCTTTACCTCATTGGCCTCACTCTGCTGCTGTTCTTTCTTTTTTCTCCTTTTCTTTCTTTTTTTCTCACTTGTAGAAGATCGTCCCCCTGAAGCCTGAGATTTACTGGCACCTCGGCCACTTCTTCCTTTTCCAGGCTCCGAATCAGAATCGCTTTCAACTTGTAGTAAAGCAAAACGAGATGCAGTGGTAGGAACCGAACTGATTACGGTAGATGCCATTGCCACATCTGAAATTCTACTGAGCTGGCTTCTTTTTAGTTATTACGTTTCCTAGGAAAGTAGCACAGAAATAAGAATGAAAACAGTGTTTGACCAAACAATCAATAAATCACATCAGGTGCAGCATTAGTATAAAAAACTCCAAAACTCAGTAATATTTCTTTATGTTTTTACTAAGTTGTATTATCTTAAGTATTCAAACAAGAACTACAAAAGGAAAGAATAATCTATAGAACAACAGTAATTTCAGGCTAATACATTTGTTCCTGAGAGATCATGTTTGATGGAAAAAACAAGTAGACGGCTCTGAAGGAAGTTGTCCTTCGTGATCTGGGGGGGGCGGGGGGGGGGGCAGGGAAAGAGATACAAGAGAGACAGGAATAGTGTGGTGCTCCAAAATTGTTTCAGCCACCATCCCTGAAGCCTGACAAACATATGGTTTGAGAAAGTAAGCGAGTAGATATTATGCATATGCAGGCTGCAGTTTTGGGGAAGCAGCCTTATTTCTTATTTTACAAGTAGTATCATTTTGTTCCCAAGCCACTGGAGATTCAACAAGCAGTTTTCTCCACAGGAAGGCAAGCCCAGCATTGTGGCTGATATTGTTCTCAAACTTCAGGCTCACCTGTTCTTACAGCACAAGACAGAGGATGTGTTGGGGGGAGGCAGAACTGGGAAACACACTTAGGCCTTCCATTGCCCCCTGTAGCTATAACCAATGTGCGTATCCCCATGACACCATTCCAAAGTACAAATCATTTATCTACTGTAACAGTTAAAATTTTGGCCTAAGAATATTTGGCTAATTGCAGTTTTTCCACGCAAAGTTTAGCGAATTAGAAGACTGAAACTGATGTTATTTCATCAGTGATTATAAATTTCATAGAAAACATCTAGCTATGTTGATGTACTACGATACAGAGGTCTAGTGAAATAATACATACTTTTTGAAAGCGCTGTTTGAAAGGAATCCTTACAGTTTGGCAACTGTGAACGTCAGCTGAATGTCTGCTTAGATGGTCTACAAATGGGTTGCTTGCTAACTACTATTACAGAAGAACATGAGAATCTACAGAAATTTCAAAAGATTGTTTTTATTGCTAAATTCCAGACTTTCTCAAGGACAAACCTGCAGAGGTGCTCTAAAGATGCTCAGACATACCAACACAAAACAATACTATATTACCAATGCCCATTACCCAAAAGAATTATTAAAAACAAGTATTACATTTTATTTCTCAAAGGTGAAAGAGAATGAGCAAGTAAGCTAATAATGTCCTTACTCAAGTTTACCAAAGACAAAGGTTACAGTGAACAGCATTTTTCTCATACAAAATTTACCCTACTCTATTTCTCTCAAAAAAGTAAAAAAAAGCTGATCAGATGAAGATGTTTTTTTGCTAAGAATAAAACAAACTTGACATCAAATTGTAAATCCACCTGATGCTGATGTTCAGACTCTGATCAGACCACAACCATGGATCTAAAAAACCCGACATCAGTCACATTTAAAACACTGTAAGTAATTAGCACTTGTTACTCTCTTTAAATGATTAAGTAACAGGGTAAGCTTGGATTTTCCTGGGTTTATGTGTATGTTTTTAAATGCATTTTAATAACAACTATAGTTATCCTGCCTAGGCACTTAGTTACAGCAGAGAGAGTCGTGCTCTTACTACTTGAACATGCAATACATTGAAACCTGAAACTCAGAGAAAACGTTAAAGATATATCTTCACAGAAAAGCAGCACCAATGATAAGTGCTCAGCCACACTGTAACATGAACTTACAGTACTGGATGGTGCTCTTGGCACTACACCAGACTACAAGTCTTAACACTGGAAGTTTGTAAACTCTCTCCTGTATTTGGCTTAAAAAAATAAAAAAAAAATAAATCGGTGCACTACAGGATGCTCTAGTCAGTCAAAAGCTTGGCATTTCTAGTCTCTACTTACTGTGATATATTTGGGGTTTCATATAAACAGCACAACACAGTCTTTATTAAGTTGACAGCTGCTAATGGTGCCAAATACTTTTCTTGCCCATAAAATTTGAAAACATTTCATATTTTCAAGCTGCAGTGATAGCAGCTAGTTTCTTTGGAAATACAATTTAAGAGAAAACATCAAGATACAATTATTAGTCACTCTAGAACAAGAGATAAAGAAAGATGAAAAGAGGTTGGACTCAGCCATAGCAGCTGAAGCTCTACCTCACTATGAAATATGGCTGCAAACTCCTCTCTCCCTTTTCAACAAATACAACAAAAATGCAACAGGTATACTTTTGCTGTCCGACTGTAGCTGGCATGCAATTAAGTGCCCAGCTGACAAGCATATTAAGCAACTACTACCCATGGAATTCTGCTGTTATAATTCACTGAAGTACTTCAGTAACAACATGAAATTAAATTTACAAAAGTTTATTCCTGAATTGCATTTGTTTCCACTGAACAGAAAAAAATGGATAGTAATAGCCTTGTAGAGGAAACTGCAAATACATGAGATTATAGATTATTTTCAGTTAAGTCTAGAAGAGCTGTTAACATTGCTAACTCAGTTTAGTAGGACATTTCAATACAGCTATGCATATTACAGCAGGATCTAATCATCACACTTCTGCAACACTTCTGGCACTTCTCTGCCATCTGTTTCTTGTCCTTATAAAAATGGCCATATAGATGAGGCCATGGGTCTAAATGTTAAATATTCATTTGGTCATCTTGAGTTAATATAAAGGAATTGAGCAGCCAGTCAGTCTAGGATAGCAGTCATCCTTCTATGGGACATAAAGATTAGCACAGATCTTTGAGAAACCTGAGTTTTCTTGCCAATACTCAGAGGAGTTTTGATGAATTTTGTTTTATGGTAATGTCTACAGTATGTACTTCATGTGTCGTTATTCAGTGAGCTCACCTGAAGTTTGGCCAATAGGTTTTATTCAGACTTGTTAGGAAAAGCTGTTTGGCTGCAACTGTTACTTTCATAAATATTTAAAGGCTGACTTGCATTTTAATGTGTGCATCTGTCCCTGTTTACATTTATGTTAAACCATTTGAGAGGGTTTTTTGATAAATGTTCTAAACACTGTCAATCTTAGCTGGAAAAAAAGAAAGCAATTAATAGATAGTCACTTGACTGGAATAGGGACAGACTATTGTAATGTATCTGTAATGCAAATGTCATGTCCTAGTATTGACAGTAGCTTTGCCCAATTAACACATACTACTTGTTCTAGGCAAACTAGTTGTCAAGCCATGCTGTTAGCTTTTTGGTTTGGATATCTTAATAATGGATGCAGTAGTCCATGCTAAGAATTTACAGAGCATTTCTTCTATACAATCTAAAAAAAATGTAATTCTTGTAACACCTAAGTGAGTGAGTATTGTTCAGTCTTATTTTTTTTTAATGTATACACAACAGTGAATGGATGTCCTTAGTACCATTTATTTCCATCCTTTTAATTATGAAAAGAAAGATTTCATACAAAGAAAGAAAGAAGGATCCAGTAATTCACTGAGGCCTATCACCATGCCATGCCTCACATTTTATTTAATACTACACCTACAGTTCTGACAGCCAAATTTTACCAAGCACCTAATATTTTAGTTCCAAGATTTGACTCCCCTCCCCATAGGAAACCAATAAGCTGATCTCAAAAGCTTTCAGCTAAGCACAGATGCTTGTCACCCCTTTTACAAGACTATTTTTTTCCTTTAATGAAGAATTATGATTTGTGGTGTTCTTTATTGTCATAGATATGAACAGCCTTATAAAATTAAAGCATTGACGTTCTTGAGCTTGAGGCTGTGCTCACAGAGGCTTTTTGATCACAGAATAAAAGCACTTAAGTACCACAGAGTGTTTTGTAATTCCACAGATCAAACTAAGACCTGAAAAATCATTTCAACCTTTACAGTGGTTTCAAGAGTTGGCAGTCCTAGAAATGTTATGTATTCAAAACAGTCAGTTGGCCAAAGCCTATCTAAATGCAAGTCAATTCACTTCCTTACGATATGAATACAGCAAAAATCGCCAAGAGGAGCAGGAGGAAGCAAGCGTGCTTGTGGCATCTACAGAGCTCATTAATACCTCAAGTGAGATTGCAAGTTAAAAAAACCAGCCCAACAAACAAACATCAGTACTTGGGAGTTGTTTCCATGTGTGTCATGCATTAGCACTAGTCATACGCTTCTGAGAAGACCTCCTCTAATGTACCAAGGAAGTTATTAACCCTCCATTTTTATGTTAATGAAAAGGTCACTGATAATGGATTTCAAAGTTGCAACATCACTATGGCATCAATACACAGGTGGCACCAATACATGACCTAGTTTCAAAACTTTCTGCTTTGCAAATCACTAGCAGACTATTAGTTCAACTGTCTCTGCAATGTTTCAAACCATAAAGTTTGTGAGAAGAGCTCCTACAACCAAAATTACATATTATTCAGACTGATATATCAACAACATAAGATAAGTATGATACACCATATAATTTCAAGGCAACACAAAAGCATTTTTTATGGCTAGCTAGTAGTAATTTTTTTGGTGCTCTATTCATTCCTAGGTCATACTCTTCTACAAATCATGTCAGCCTACATGAACAGATTATTTTGGAATTTGATACTGTATCAATAGATTATACCAAGTTTGTCCCATTTATGAAACATGTAATGTATTACTTTAGCTTGTCTGATACAGGGATTTGTAAACACCAAGTGCTTACTCCACCTTAAGTTCTCGGTAAACAAGGAGACATATTTAGAAAGTTAAACTGTGAGTGACATGACTGAAAAGGTTGCCTTTTTAACTTCAGTTCCCTGAAGCCTACTAAGTATATTCAGAAACATAAGATCCATCAATGCCCTGAAGAGCTTCAGTCTCGTTTTAGACATGACGTAACAAAGATTGCAATAATAAAAGTAACATGCTCATCTGGTGCTACCGTAACTTGAAATCCCTTTTGTATCAGTTACTTACATTTACCCACATGCTGCAGGTGAAACAGCTTTTGGAATACTTAAGTTTTGAAAGCTCTCCTGTAAACCGTCCAATACATATACTAGTAAAGAATAGCTTCGCACACATCCACAAGCTTGTTTTGTTTGAGCATCAGCAGCTTCCTGGCCTGTGTGCAACTTTGCACGTGTGAGTGAGTTACCATTTAGCTGGCAAGTGTTCAAGCACCTCTGAGAAGTGAGCGGTACTTCACAATTTAGGAACCTCTAGTCTGATGCTAGGAGTACACCTTTAAGCATCTGTGAAACAACCACGTAGCTTTAAATGTGGGGCTTTCCTATTTCACGGATAACGGGCTGAAGAGCCCAAAAACGTAACCCATTTCCTATTTAACCACTTTTGTCATCAAATAAACTGCTAATAAAGATGCAGATTTTAGAAAACTTTGAAAATAGGGTATTGTCATGCTAAAGCTTCCTCCCACATACAATCTACTTGTTTCTACCACTAAAATACATATTTATGATAATCTACAACCAATCTATCTTCTTAGCAAACACCTGAAGTATTGACTGACTTCAGGAAGTGCTTGTAAAGCTGAAGGAACACCAACACACACAATATACATCTGTAAATGAAGGAACACGTCTGTTCCCTACTGGCACTGATCAACCTTCCCACTTTCTGCACACATGTTGATCTTTGCCCGTTTATACATTTACCACAGCAACCTCAATCTACTTTTCCTTATCGGTGCATTTACAAGAAGCTTTGCACAGGAGGTCCTCCCTGTTGTACAAGCTCTCTCCATTTAAATTGCTTTTGTTTTATGCCATCTGATCAAAATCTGTAAAGCTGCATTAAACTTCTCTAAATCTTTAAAATTACTTAAAGTCAAGTCATCAGCTTGTTGATGAGTTTCACAAGTTACTCTACAGCCAAAAGAACCCAACTGAACAAACAAAAAACTGGTTCAGAAATCTACTTGAGAGTTGCCATGCCGGCATACACGGCAGCAATAAACCGATGGTGGGTAAAGGGCCTTGCACAGTTTGAAAGGGGAATATGGTGAGTTTACTGCTGTGCTTTGGAAAAATTAATGTTTTTGAGGAAGAGTGTTTTTTAAAACATTTTTTTTTAAACTCAGGATTAAAATGTAAAAGCGACCAGGCAAGTCTGACTTAAGTTTGAGCAGAGGATGCTGACTGACAACGTGACCTCCCTTGCTAGCTTTTCTTCCCCCGATTCCCACTCCTCCTCCTTCTACTCAAAAAAAACCTTAATTAGTTAATCTTTAAAGTTAGGAACGTTTATGTAACAAACTTTTAAACTTCACGCTCAATTTACCCTCAGTGACTAATGCAACAAACCCCACTAGCGTTCTCAGGTCCCAATACATATTGGTAACCTTGAATAACCAAATAACCGGTGGTCAGTAAATAACTAAAACGTCCCAATGGCGTTTTGGCTTCTAATTACGATCAGCGTTTTCGCTGCCGCTGATTTTTTTTTTCCATCAGCGC